CACGTTATTGTTTACATGAGAGGAATGGCAGATAGTCAGATTAACAGTATTTTGTCTCTATCTTCAGGTTTTACACACTTACATATAAACACGCAGTTACTGTCCTTCCATTTACAAAGTCAAAGGCGTCATGGTGTGATTATTTTACCTGTAGTTGTTTTTTTCCTGTGTAACCATATTTTCTAGTCTTTGGCTTAGAATAAAGTTGCCTTGGAAACATATTCAGCGATGCTTCATCTCCTGCTTTGCATTTGTGTGGGCGCCCCGTGCTAGCAGTGTCCAAGCATTGTTTTGTTTTTTCCCTTTTCATGCCGCGCCCCCCCTGCAATGGCTCTGCGCCCCCCTAGGGGGCGGGCCCCACACTTTGGGAAGGTCTGCACTAATACACGACAATTTACACTGCTATTTTTTAAAAGAGTTGTCAGACACATAATATCCTGTTGAGGCCAAAATTATTAGCCTCCCAGGAAATATGGAACAATTTCCTAAACTTCTTCCCAATTTTATGCAGTATCGATGAAACTTGATATAATCAGAGTCACCGGTGCTATTCAGTAGCTTCTGGTACATTTTGTAATATAAAATACATTTGTAGGCTTGCTTTGTACCAAATGTAGTAAAAAGCCCCATGTGGATGTTTGCTTTCAAAACACACCTACAGTAATGAAACACACCTCTATTTAAGTCAGTTGGCTTCCTAACAACATCCAATGAGCATAAAAAGACTCCAAGGAACAGGGCACTTGAACACATGACAGGGACGACTGTTACTCGCCAAAGACAAAAAAACCCAGAAAGAAGATCGTAGAGGCTCATAATAAGTGGAAAGGCTACACTGCCATTTCCAAGAAATTCACAGTTTGCTGTGGAAAATACTTTATTGAAGACGTATGAAGTGCAATAATTACACCCTGGAAAAGCAAAAGTTCAAAGAAATCATGAAAACCCCCAAATTATCATGAGATTCATGAATACGAGTATTTAAATGTTTTATTGCATTGAGTCAGAAAAGAAAGCTCCATGACACGACTTCATGTCCACGTGTCTGTGCTGTGAGCCACCGTGAACAAACTGTTTACATGTTTTCATTCCACTTTTTCTGCTATGATCCAAAAGCTCTGTTTGCCTTAAAGAAACACACAGAAATACTTACAGGCTTCAATCATCTGTCCCTTTATTATTTATTTAATCTATATTTAACCAGGAAGATCCCACTGAGATTAAAAACCTGCAGCAAGTATCTCACAGTTAGAAAAATGTCACATATAGACACAGTCAGCAACAACACGCAGAAATCAATATAAATTCAGTAAAAAGTGCAAACCTCTCCTTAAAAGTAGTGAAAGAGCTGGATGTTGCATCTTAAACACGTCGCTCTCATTGTTCTACATTCTCATGTTTTGTTTTTCTTTACACACAATGAAATTGTGGGTTTTGTTTTTGACTGTTGTGAAAACTGAAGTGGCTCTAAATCAGTTTTAGTAACTCTGGGATTCTCAAATTTGTCCTCACAGAGAAAAACCAGTCTGCATCCATCTTCCACTATCATCTATTTGCTGTATCCTTTTTGTCTCTGTTATCCAAGGGATTAACAAAATAACTAGCAGCTGCTCACCTTTTACTGCAAACAGCTGTACAATAAAGCAGGTCGCCAGTAGAGAAAGAACTTGACCTCATGTCCAAGTCCGATAACTAAATTATTAATTTGCTCACAGATTTTGTTTTTCAAGAGAAAAAAGCAAAGTTAAGTAAAACAAAACACCCACACAAAACCCACCACTCTGACATTTGCAGCTTCAGTGCTGATTCTGCTGTCTGCCTTTAATCCTAGCACTGTAGCCCTAAACCCTTCTACACCTCATAGAGGTTCATGTGAAAATATAATCCAACTTCAGCTGGTGGTTAACCTGCCATCTCCATGGTACAATATCTATGCTACTGAATTAGCAGATAGCAGTGTGGTGAACAAGTGTGAGTGTGTCATGTATTTCTAGTAGTCTGAACACATGTGAGGGACTGTTTCTTACTGTGTGTGTGTGTGTGCATATGGGAAAGATCAACTGTTTCAACTTGAGTTGTAATTTAAATCTCAAAAGTACTCAAGAGTCATTAAAAGGTTATGGGGGAAATGATGATGAGGAAAATCTGTTGGTTGAAGTATTTCCTGTTGAACAAAGGCGTAGATTTGGCATGAACGGAAGGGACATGTCCCCACCAATAATTTGATCTCTTCGAGTAAAGAAAAACAAACCCGATAGAAAGAAAAAAACGATCTGTCAACGTCTCATTCAGCGAGCGGAGCAGAAAGCGTTAAATTACGTTCTCTACTGGAGTCCTACGTCATGTGACAAATATGGCCAATGTGATTGGCTG